GTAAAAATCAGTAACCAAGTAGGAAAATGAGCCACTGACAGTTAACAAATGGTTCATAGAAAAGAAATGGCCTATAAACATGGAAAAGCCATACTCAGAAGTTCCACTTATAAGTAACCATCATAATGGTAAAGATCTAAAAGTGTATTTCTTTGTAACCTTAACAGAAGTATTATTCTAGTTGCAAGCATACACAAATATCATTCAGTGATTCTCCAAGGAAGTTGTATTTACCAAAATTCAAGATACACTTTAAGCCAGTGATTGTTTCCAAGAACTTACCCTATCGCTATACTGTCAGATGAGTACAAAAGTCAGCATTATGTGAGGGTAGCCATTGTGGCATTATTTGTAATAGCAAGAAATGGGACAATCTAGGACGGGTTAATTCAGTTCATTCCAACACTGGAGTACTGTGTAGTTGTTAAAGAGAATGGGGTTTTTATAGGATATTATCTCCAAGATATCTAATTAAATCAGAACAAGCAATAGTCATTCTTTTTTAACTTCATTAAAAAGGAGGAGGTTGGTTGTATGCAGATGTTCCCTATTCATGAACTCTGGATGGACACACAGGAAGCGTGATATTGATGGATCCTGTGGTGGGAGGGAGACAGACCACTTTTCTTTAGTATGTCCTTTTATACTGTTTGAACTTTTCCCATAGTCAGATATTAATTTCACTTATTGAAGACGAAAATAAAAACAAAAATACAAGGGAGGTATGAAAGAAGTCTTAATTGTTTTATTTCTTTGCCTCCTTGTGTGTGTGGAATCATCTGGCCAAGTACATGGTAGAGATTTTGCCCATTAACAGATAAGGATGGAATCATTTGTTACTTGCTTTGTGCTCCTGACAGAAAATGAACACTTTGCTTATTTACTGTTTACAGCCCTATGAGGTAGTTAATAGTATCTTTATTTCATGGGGACGAAAAGGGTCAGGTGAAGAATCCTGTCTTGGGTGACAGGGCTGCAAGCAGCACAGCTGCCACTGGAATCTGTTGAAGTGGTGGGGTCGTGGTCTTTCCACTGCACTCATGTGGCCTTGTCTTACACGGCACATCTTGTCTTAGCAGTGTTGAAATTCTTCTATACGTAGGTATCGATGGGCCTTTATTCCAGAAGCTTCAGATGACTCTGGTTTGGAAGTCAGAAGGCAGGGCATACACCAACGAGAATTTAAACCTTATGTGGTTCGACTAGCAAAACTTCTTCGGAAAAGGGCAAAGGTATTGCATTCTTTTTCTTTTTAAGTATAAGAAGACAAAATTTGTAAAGTGTACTTATATCCTGTCTTACGTACTTTGTATCTTTCAGTATGCATCAGGCTAGAGATCTTTGCCCCAGAAAATGAATTTGGCATGCTCATGAGTGAGCCTTTGTTCCAAATCTTTTGTCTTTTTTTTAAATTAAAAAATTTTCAGGGATACTCAACTCAGTTGAGCATCCAAGCCTTGATCTTGGGGTCATGAGTTTGAGCCCCATGTTGGGTGTAGAGATTACTTACAAAACATAAATAAAACAAGACAAAATCTTTAAATTTTTTTCAAAAATGTAAAGTTTGGGGATGTGCTTTTGGGGTTTGCAGTATGTGCTTTGAGTGCTCAGAAATTTTCCAGTCTTCTGGGTCCCCTAATCAGGCAGCCACCCCTAAAACTAACCCACGTTCCGCAAACAATGGGATGGAGGAAAGTGATTAAAGAGGAGGTTGTGCTTGAAGGATCTGAGGAACTTGATTTTAAAATTCTTCAGAAACTAAGTAAAAGGGCAGAGATGAAGATGAAAGTTGGATCCAGAGTTTAGGGATAGGACTTGGGTACTTCTCACTTTGATATTACAGGGTTTGAAAAAATAATTGTGATGATAAATCCAGAAGCCGTGCACTTTCTGTCATCCCTACATCTCATTAGTATTGACCGTTATTTATAAGACCCCTCTCTGGACCTAAGGGATAAACAAGACAGCCTTTTGCCAAATACGTGTCCCCCAGAATAAGAAAACAGTTTTGATTAGAAAGCATTTTCTACACTTTAAACAAGGTCTTCATGGCCAAACATACATTTGTCATTGGAACAAAGGCTATGAGTTCTCCTCTTTCCTTCCACAGGACAAGGAGGAGGACTTTAAGACAGTGATTTTGGAGGGATTGGAGATGGCCAAGCATCAGGTGAGGGTGGCTTTTTGATGCTTGTGATGTGGCAGCAAAAGTTGCCACATCTGGACCAAATATTGAGACACAAACCCAGGTCTGGATCTCAACAAGTACAAGAGAGGTAAACAGGAAGGAAGTCTGTCTTCAAGTGTAGACTGGTGAAGTGAAAGGAGAAATCATTTTTATGGAAACGTGTCTGACTTTTTAATTTTATTATTGAGGAGGTGTTATAGTTCTGATGAAGAGCAGAACACCAAAACAAGGGCACTCTTTATCGGTTAAGGGCTTAGTAGTAAAAGTCCCTCTCTTACAGGTACATCTTGGCAGGAATATAAACAAAAGATTACACCTCAGTTACATTTGGAAACTAGTTGTATGGAGGGTTCAAGCATATTATGCCTTTTCCCTCAGGATAAATTCATCTGTTTACCCTTTAATTACTATTGGATTGCAGTTTAATTTCGGGGACTGGAAAGGTGGTATGGTCAGCCAACCGAACGGTAGCCAGTGTGGGAAAGTCGGTCCCGGGACTGTCATTAAAGCCAGTGTTCTAGTTAAGCAAAAGGAAGAGGTTTTCTATAGCCAGTATTTTAGATTGGAGGTTAAAGAATTGCTGGGGTTTTTTTCTTTTTTTCTGGCTCTAAAGAACTGGATGATCTTTTTTTGTTTGCTATTTTAACTTCAATCTATTTTCCTTTCTCAGGATTTCATTTTTAAATAAGCAAACAAAGCTTGTGATCACACATAAGCTGGATTTTGCATCTGCCTTCTCCACTAGGAAACTAGTGTTACTAAAACTTAGATTAACAGTGAAAGAAACATCTGATCTGAGAAGGCAAACTCCATTTGTTAATCAGTAGGACTGTAGTAGTTCTGCTTTTTAAGTCCACCTTGATGATTTTTTTTCCCATTTTCTATCCAGTCCATGTCTGTTTTCATTCTCTCCACTGTTTTTATATCTGTGATTCTGCCCAAACTCAGACATCTCCAGTTCTCTCGTAACTTTCCTTAGATAGACTGATGTCTACATCTTTGTATAATCTAGTTGGCCTTTGAAACCAGCCTCTTGGTACACAAATTATTTTAACTGCACTTACATTTAGTTGACAGTTTTCACCTACATTCTCGTTTGACTTCTCTGCTGGAAAATAGATTGCTTCCCCACTTTTTTAAAATGAGGAACCTTTCTGTATCTTGCCCAAGGATGTCCCCCCAGTGAGTAAATAGAGCCGTGACACCCACCCTGTTATTTCGACCCCAGGTCCAGCTTTCCTCCCCATGTTGTTTAACACAAGAAGCAGATGGCAGGGTCTCTCCTGAGTGCTCCTTTCCTTTCTCTCGTACTGAGTTATTCACTTGGAAGCCTGCTACCATGTTGTGGCAAGCTTAAGCCATTTGGCTAGAAGGGAACTACCTGATTTACTAGTGGTGACGTGGAGAAGACTGCGGTCTCTTCTTAACCTTCTTCTGTGGTCACTTGTCTTGGGTCACCTTAGCGGGAGTCCAGAAATCTGGGAGCTTTTTGAGTATATGCAAAGCACAACATAAACTGTTAATATTTGACTCTCCCTCTCCAAAACCAATTCTGCTAATGAGCGTACTTACGCACTCCAGTTGGAAAACGTGACTACAGCATTGGACCCATCTACCCACACTTCGTAACTGGCATGAAGAGGCTTCAGTTAGAAGCAGGAGTTTAATCAAGTCTGGAATGGAGACTTAATGTCATCATTTGTATTTGTTAACTGTTGCTGATGTTTATACCCTTTGAAATGTTCTCATGGACTGTATTCATCTGTATAACAATCTCCTTGTGTTTTCTACAGAAGAATCCGGAGGAAGACAACCCAGGGAGAACGTTGGGTTGGGAGCCGGGGCACTTGCTGCTCACCGTCTGCGCCGTGCGCAGTATCGAGCAGCTCCTGCCGTTCTTCAATGTGCTCAGCCAAGTCTTCAACAGCAAAGTCACCAGCCGATGTGCAGGACACTCAGGGAGCCCCATCCTCTACTCAAACACCTTCCCTAACAAGGACATGAAACTGGAAAACCACAAACCATTTTCCAGCAAAGCCAGGCAAAAAATAGAAGAGATGGTAGAAAAAGATTTTCTGGAAGGAGTGATAAAAACTTGAGGCATTACAAGTGGTTCCATTTAACTAGATGTAAATGTAATTATTTAAAACAAACATTGCTCCGAGTTGTATAGTTTCTTTTTTCTTTTTTGTATGTAACAAAACCCATTTCAGGTTGTATTTAATTTAAATATTTGTAAATAAGAGCAAATGTCTGAATGTGGCCTGAATCAAGTTTAAATATTGTTGGCTCATATTGATTATGGTGCCTGAGAGAGATCTATATATACATCTATAGTCCATTGTTTTACTGTCCTGAATTGTCTTAAACCTGCAAAATACACACTGCACATTTTTTGCTATTGGTTTCAGGCTTTGTTTAATTTAGATTTGTTGGGATCTTCTTTCTATTACTGACCACATTCTAGTATCAGAAAGGCGTCACTTTTCTGTCGGAGGCATGGTAAGGTATGACCATTAGTTTTCTCCCGCATGCCTTCACTAAGAGGAGTAAAGAATAACTGGAGCCTGGGCCATGCATCCTCCTAAATGTAGCATGAGCATTTCAACCTCCGTACAGAGTAGAGATCCACAGTCTCCATCTCACACCTCTGAATTCCTGGTGATGTTCATTGAAGAGGTAAGTCATTTAAGAATCATTCTAAAAATTGTTTGTATAAAAGTCTTCTCCACCCTCCCCATCCGTATCAACAATGGTGAATCCTGTAAAACAGCAAGTGTGGCTAGGTAACGGCAATGGAAAAGACACTCCAAGGAGCTGATAATAAGGTTTACTTTTCCAGCAGCCCTCATGAATTTTCCCTGCGTGTATTAGAAAGTTAATGACTGAATCACGTAGCGAAGCCCAGGTACTTTACATTAGTGAGACTGAAATTCAGTAAGTTTTGCTTTTTAAAAACTAATTTAACAAGTATAAGGCTTACCTACTTCTAAACAATTACGGTAGTGTTTAAGAAAAACAATCTGTTCTAGAAGAAATCTAGTAAGATGCACTGTAAACATTTTGATTACAAATGCGTTTGAACCTGTCACCATAATGGCAGTACTATTTTGTAAAAAACTTTTTAAAAACCCAGTTTCTCATGAACATAAAAAATTGTCTTCAGAAACCTGGTTGGGGTGTTTCTCCAACTCCTCCAGCCAGCTGAAATACTGCCAGGCTCACTGCATGTGCAAGGCTATCCGCATTTTCCTGCAAATTACATGAAAGGAGATTAGATGAGAACTAGCATCAACTCTGAGGGAAGGGGAAGGATCTTCTTGATTTTGTTTCAACGTATTCAAATGAAAAATTTTCTTTTTCTCAATCTTTCAGTAACAAATTCCAAGACTCTGAGAAGAATTTGAGTTTTCCATTTATTTAAGGCAGGTGAGTCCTTAACTGATTTTACAATCTAATTTGATTATTCCCAAACTCTGAATAATTCAATAAAACCTACTCCTTAAAAGCAAGGCCACAACTGGCCTAAGAGTAAGTAACCGTTCAGGTCCCAGATGGCTTCTCCCCGTCCACCAGGGATTTTTATTCACTATATTCTGGGATGGCCTAAAGCTTCTGCCAAAAAGCTGCCAGCTCCCTTATAAAATGCCTCCTTCTGACTGCCTGTTATCAGGGTTTAAGATGACGGTGTGTGAAGACGGCAAATTTTAAAAGTCCAGACCATGAGGTCTTTACCTTATCAGGAGAATAGCAGCAGAGGGCAAGGCTGTCTAAAGGAAATTATTTTAAAAAACAAAAGTCCAGAGACAAAGGGGTGCCTGGGTGGCTCAGTCAGTTGAGCATCTGACTCTTGGTTTCCGCTCAGGTCATGATCTTGGGGTCAGCTCCGTGCGGAGTCTGCTTGTCTCTCACCTTCTGCTCCTCTCCCCCCGCCCACTTGTGCATGCTGTCTGTCTCTCTCAAATAAACAAAGTCCAGAGACAAAGATGAATTTCAATCAGCATGGCTGATGGTACCAGTTAATTTAAACATGGACTGCAAAGCTGGTTGTTTTCATAAAGCAGCAGGATTATGTTTTTAAAGGAGGGGAAAAAAGGATAATCCACTTCAGGCCACATAAGGCAAACCAAGTCTCTATTAGTTATTCATACCATAGCTAGAAATAGGGCAGTTTCAGGAAGTCTGGAGTAAATCAAAAGAAGAATATTTGGGGAAATAAACTAAGTGCATCTAATTTTGTTCAACTACTGATGAAAATAATTTTGTAGTATTAATATGAACCTAAAAATCTGCATAAACAAATCTCAGACATTAAACCCTTAATTATCAGTGAGACTGCAACACTATTAAAATAGTTTTTCTCTCCTGCCACCAACCCCACTACCCATGTTGTCAGACTCTCACTGCACATTTTTTCAATAGCACTGCCCCAGCTTACCTGCGAGTCCGCTTCTGCATATACTCGGACTATATCTTCCGTACCAGAAGGCCGGACAAAAGCTCGGGAAAGCTTGTACTTCTTCACCAGGTCATTGATGGCCTCCTGTAGTCCCGGAGGTGTAACTACTTGTCTTTCAGCATCAGTGGTGCTAATGACTTGCCTGTCTGCAACCTATGCAAAACATTTTGTATTTGTCACTATTACACTTCCTTTCAGAAGCCTGACCTCTTCAACGTAATTCCTACCAAAAGACTGTGGCCATTTCAATAGTAACAGACCTACATTTCAGCTTATTGTACCCCCAAGTGCAACACTGTCAGACAGTAAGGTACCAGAATAAGCACAAAATGCAACTGCACTAAAATTTTATGGGGCGCCTGTGACTCTTGGTCTCAGCTCAGGTCATGATTTCAGGGTTGTGAGATCCAGCCCCACATCATGCTCTGCATGGAGTTGGCTTGAGATTCTCTCTCTCCCTCTCCCTCCACCCACTCACGAGCTCACACTGCTAATAAAATGTTTTAAAAAAAATTTTTACGATTTTTATTTCTGACAAAATCAAGGTTAATTTCAGTTGTACAGCTTCTTTCTTCAATATCCAAATACCTCAAGCAAAAAAGATACCATTTCCACACTGTCTTATAGTTACCACTAAAATAATAGTAAGTACTGTAGGCCTTAAGTCACTGATTAAATAACCCTAAGTATTTTTATAAAGTGGAAAGTGGCAACCAGTTATGTAAGAGGGTCATGATAAAAATTGCCTAAATATGCCAAAAACTAATCTGAACAATCAGTAGCCATTTGTGTGAACTCGGGCCTTACTACCTGTTAATTATCTTTCACAAATTGTTGGTGAGGGGCGCCTGGGTGGCTCAGTTGGTTGGACGACTGCCTTCAGCTCAGGTCATGATCCTGGACTCCCGGGATCGAGTCCCGCATCGGGCTCCCTGCTCGGCGGGGAGTCTGCTTCTCCCTCTGACCCTCTTCCCTCTCCTGCTCTCTATCTCTCATTCTATCTCTCTCTCAAATAAATAAATAAAATCTTTAAAAAAAAAAAAAAAATTGTTGGTGAATGTGTACAATGGCGTATAGATATCAATTAACATTTCTATGAAATGCCTTTAAAAAAAATTATCTCCTACTTTGCAGCATCTAGCCCCAGGAAAGTACTATATGAACCAAGAAACACGCAAAGGGAATATTTTCACTCAAAATGATAGGCTATCAGGATTGCTTCAAAATAACATGGGGGATATGGAGAATGGTGAAGGACAATAGTTGAAATCTGTTGAAGCTGAGTTTTGTTCTCCCCACACTTCTGTGTTTTAAATTTTCCATAATAAAATCTTCATTATAAATAATATGTATCACCTTTTCTTTAAAGTTTGTAAAGTGAATACTTCTCAAACAATTGAATGGTTAACTATGCCATAATTTTTAAGATGACAAAACACAGATGATATAAGGCATTTTCTATGCAATATATGTACATAATGAATTATGACACAAAGGAACTACTTTCATACAGAGATTGGAGATAATACATTTTAATTTTCAGAAAAGAAGTAATTTTAAAATCTCGCTCCCACCTTAACTTTGAGCTGTCTGTTTGGAAGATCTGTATAAAGAGCATCCCACTGCTGTACAGTCAGGCCCTTCAGAATCAAGATTGCCTCAATCACCAGCATGTCAGCAATAGCATCACCAGCTGCCTACAAGACACAATGGAAGAAAGTACTTTAATGCCAGCAAAGCTTGGATAAGAATGCTCTGTCTTAGAAAACCAATCACAGTATCCTGTGCTTCCTCCCTGCCCCCACATGGGATTATTAAACTGGAGTGGATGGAGAAATAAAAAGGGAATGGAAGACCATAATGAGTTAAACAAAGAACACTGAAACTAGCTCTTGAGAAACTTGCCTCTAATCTTCCTCATTATAGACTGGATAACTCTTAAGGTTCCAGCATTAACATTCTATGATTCAAATTTTCCTTTATAACTAGATCCCTTTTGCGATATTTATTACGACAATGGAAGGCATCATGCATGGTAAAGTGGTATAAGACACACCTAAAGTTAGATCCATACTCTTCACTTAGTAGCTCCGAGCTCTTTGTTTCTTCATTTATGAAATGGGAATTATAATAACCCCCCTCCCTGTGTTATTACAAGGATTACACAATGAGGTATGTCAAGTGCCTCATATGTGCAAGATACTCAAATATTCCATTGCTTTTCCTAGTCCCACTCTTTGCTTGCTCTTCCATTGCCATATTGTAGACTCCAATCTCAACGATGCAACACATATATATAGACTCAAAAGCTGAATCTTGCCTCTAGGTGCAAGCAACTCATTTTACTTAAAAATTTTCATCATAGGGCGCCTGGGTGGCTCAGTTGGTTAAGCGACTGCCTTCGGCTCAGGTCATGATCCTGGAGTCCCGGGATCGAGTCCCACATCGGGCTCCCTGCTCAGCAGGGAGTCTGCTGCTCTCTCTGACCCTCCCCCCTTCTCGTGTGCTCTCTCTCTCTTTCTCTCTCTCTCAAATAAATAAAATCTTAAAAAAAAAATTATTTTTTTCATCATAAAACGTAGGGGGAAGGAAGCACATCAATGTTTTATCACCGCATTTCAGTGTAAATCTCAACTGTATATACATACCACTGTGGCAAGGAGGCTGCCAGGACTTTTCTACTTTGATGTTTTATTCAGGCGCGCCTGGGTGGCTCAGTCAGTTAAGCATCTGACTTCGGCTCAGGTCATGATCTCAGGGTCCTGGGATCGGGCTCCCTGCTCCCTGGGAGTCTGCTTCTCCCTCTCTCTTTTCCCCCAGCATACTATTCTACCTTCTGAATAACGTAAAAGTAACCAAGAGCCTACCACCCCACCAGCTCTGACCTGGTTAAACAAGTCAATAACATTTTCAAGCATCTTAGCAGCTTCCCTTTTCTTATCTTCTAATTCTTTTGCTAGTTGTTTTATCTTTGTTTCAGCAGCTTTACTAAACAGTACCTGTAATGAAAGCATAAAACACAAAGTCACAAACCACTATCCATGCCCCAGGCACCCTAAACCACTTTTGAAACTCAAAATGAATCCGGAAAAACTGAGGGGAAAAATAATAGCAGCCTTTGAATGAATGAAATTAACAAGATCGAATCAGAACCCAAAAGATATTACAGGGGGAGGGGGGATTCATTTATAAATTATGAAACTGGTTATCAAAATTTAAAGAGCTGATTACAAAGTACCACCCTGGCAGAGACAAAGTACATGAGTTCTTTATGTCTGCCCCTCGGCCAGCTCCATCTGCCCTGTGCAACCAGATTCTTTAAGCCTGTGTCCATTTTACTTGGAAGAATATATAATTTAACATAAGTAGTGCAGTTTTCTTATCCTAAAAATTTAAAGGATATAAGCTAGGTAAAAGAAAGAGTTTCATCATATTTATCACATTATGGCAAACAGTACCATGGATATTATATACATCATGTTCCTCAAGATTCCTGTCATTTTAAAATTCTTTGGCCATGATTTTAGTGCCTTCCAAGGCTCAATACTACAGTCAGCACTTGATGAAATAGATGTTTGTTGGTAAACTAAAATACACTGGCCAGTTTTTGCCGGAACACAGCCATACCCACTCACTCAACCCTATACCAGCAACAGCGACCTTATGGCCCAAAGACTAGAATATTTACTATCTGCCCTCTAAAATCATTTATCAACCTCTGCATTAATTAGATTACTGAAGTTATATTTTAACTGCATTTCCCAAGAAGTTTTTTTCTTACGTTCAAGGCCTCTAAAAGCCAGCTCGGAATTGAGGACAATAATCTGATCTAGATAACATATTTTCTGTTGGCCACCTCCAATCCATTTATGAAATGAGGTGAGATATAAAAACGTTTTAAAAAAAAAACCTTATGAATATACTGAAAGCCACATAATACACTTCAAAATAGTGAATTTTAAGGTATGTGAACTATATCTCAAACTTTTAAACATTCTACCTACAGAAAGCCCCCTAAAAATTTTATATGCTTATTGCTAATTACATTCATTTCTAGTTGTTCATAACTTAATTCTCAGGCATTCCAACACTTCAATTCACCAAAGCTACTGAACTTTCCTTGTACCACCTGTGGCCCGTTCAAAGAAAAGATTTTAAACAGTATATAGATGATCTGCTTGTAAAAAAAGAACTGCATATTTTTTTTAAGAAACTAAGAATCATCTCTTCACACTCAAAGATCATTATCAATCTAAAAGAAAACCAGTTTCACAACACATAAGAATATAGTATGTTAACCAAATAATCTTATTCTACCATCATACTGATCATTTCAACAAAGGGGGGTATAACCTATTGCCATCCAGATACAGCACTCCCATCATTAAAAAACGTCCAGCTAAAGCCGGTTGTAGCTGATTAAAAAAACTTACCGTGCCATGCCCATTTGCTTCAAAATAAACTCCAATGTCAAACTCTTGAGCCTTGTGGTGCAAATGTTTTACACCAGTTTTAGTACAATAGACAGACACCTATAACATATATTTAAAGAAACACAACAGCAGTTATTCAATGGACAGATATTATGTACCTAACTCTCCCAAGGATACAATAGGAAACAAACCTCCTGGAGCTAGCTAGTGAGGAAGACAAGCAATTAAAATACAAAGTGGTATCAGTATGCGGGAGAGAAGGCAGTATAGAAGCCCACAGCCAAGGAAAAAGCAAGAGAGAGAGTGTCCCCTGATAAGATAATGAAAGATTCCAAGTGGGGGAGTGACATGATCTAACTGCAGAAAGCTCAGTTAGCTACAGTGTGGAGAATGGCTTACAGTAGGGGTCTGCAAGCTTTTACCACAAAAGGCCAGATGATAAATATTTTAGGCTGTACAGACCATATGATAGAGATCATATCACAACGGCTCACTTCTGCCACTAGTATAAAAGCAACCACAGATGATAACGGCAACAAATGAGCATGGTTGTATTCCAATAAAACCATAAACACGTGGCAGGCTGGATTTAGTCCACAGGCCCCTGTTTGCTATCCCCTGGCTTAGAAGGGTCAAAGAGATTGGCTAGGAGGTTTCTAGGACTAATCCCATTAAGAAATTAGAGTGGTAAGACTAGCAACACTGGGCAGCCCAAGTCTTGGAGAGATCTGAACGAGAAGAGTGGTTAAGACTGATAGCGGCAGAACTACCAAGGAGACCAAGATCAAGTCAGATCAGCATTTGACTGGATTTAAAAGACCTCAGGAAAGGCTAGAGCTCAAAATACTTCATCCACCCAGAGGAGAATGGGTTGATGATTAACAGTTTCTGGTGTATTCAGTTTCTTAAAACAGGGCATCTTACCTATAAAAAATTTTTAAGACAGAACATGAGAAAATACTAAAACGATAACTGAAGTACTGAGAATAATCCTCATGAACAGCAGGCCACTGGGCCAGATGGAGTGCCGAGGGTGTTTACTGCAACCTTCTACTTAGGTCACAAACTAGCAGCCTCCTGATATGTTTTATTTTGCCAGCTATCTCTTTGGAATTTCGCATCAATTGCCAAGACTAAAAAAAGTAGGAGGTTCACATAAAAATTCAGATTTTCAGCTTCTCTTGAAGAATCTGACTAAAGGAGACAGCAGTGGGCCTGGTGGGCACTGTTCCTAGTCCTTATACCCCTGCTGTTCTTACCTCACCTATTCTACCAGAATTTGACTTTGCCATTCTTGCTTAAAAAAGAATGAAAAGGCAACAAAAACTAGTAAAATGCAGCAGTCTGAAAAATACACAAAAGTTGGAAAATAATACACTAGCTAGTGAGAAAAAGAGAAAGACAAACATCTAATTTTGGCCATGGACCCTCTAACTCACTCTTAGAGCAGGTGATGTGGTATAGAGGATGGTCAGTCATCTGGTGGATGTTGGGGGAAAAAATAAGATACAAAACTAGTAACAGATTCCATCCTCAGACCAAACTTGCCCTGTGAGCCTGAACAGGTCCTATCCCGTGGGCGCGTCTCCCAGAGTCCAACCTCAGCAAGAATGTCCTACCTTTGACAACTGATCAAAGTCCTCACGCTGTACCATCCCCCAGGTAATATCTAATCACCCAGCCTGCCTTCAGGAGTTCAGGTAGATTTAGCCAGAATCCTCCCTGACCCCTGATGACTGCTCAGTAATTTTCCATCTAACGACCCCCTCCCCCTTTGCTCCTTGGCTCCAAAATCTCCACTTTTCCTTTTGTATTAGGAGTTGAGCCAGTCTGTCTCCCACACTGTGAAACCCCAAAGCAATAGTCCCTATGCCTAGTGAGTAGGCCCACTTCTCAAGAAGAATGCACAGGACCATTTGTCACACACCTTGTCTTAAATGTGCCTGATAACTGTGGTGGCAGTGTTTAGTCCTTGAAAATTGAAAATTGAAATGGTTCAATACCTTCATAACTTCTTCAAGATACCGTGTTGAACTTCCATTTGCATACGCAGTTTGTACAACACCAATATTCAAACTTTCTCCAATCTAGATAAAAATAATGATAATTGCCTGGCCATCAAAAGTAATGACACTAACTACAAAAGTAAACATATAATGAGAGTTCTAAAGGATGACAAAATCATCGCCTAGGTCAGCTGTGTCTTAGTTTATGCAATAAATGCCTAAAGTGAAAATTTACATGAATGCCAGAAAAAAAGCTAAAATACTTTTGAGCATTAAAAAGTATTTAACTGAATTCTCAAAGTATATCTTTCCCAATATTATAATAATTACTTCTCATTACGTTCTATATGTAAAGCTGGCCTAAGATTTCCAAAAAAGCAAAACAATAAACCTCTCTCACATTATTAAGCATATTATAACACAGTAAATATAGCTCTCAGACGAGATTTTCTGTTTAAACTTGAGGCTTTGGGACTGATAATGGGAACTCTCATTAAAGTGTCAGTTATGAAGAAACCAAAACTTCATAAAGCTTCAAATCACAAACTCTGCCAGTATAAGAAAAGAGTACTACCTTCAGGTTCCAAATGCCCCATGTTGAAATGACTAAAATTACCATATCTTCTTGTATTTTCTGGCCACAAAGGTAAGGAACTCTGTAAGAATAGTGCCTCTGAGACATTCAAATGCTTGTTAGTCACCAGTAAGTCTTGTTTTAAAGGGCAGTCGATCACCCCACCATACCTCCAACAGGAGCTCTTTAAGGAAACTGCTAATTAGTGTTGCTATCTTGTCTCCATCTATGAGATGAAAGTGACCATCTACATCAAGGTAGTAATAAACAATTCTGTCTGCATCTCCATCAAAGGAACAGCATCTTTCATTAGACTTCATTTCCATTCCTAGCACACAGAATTTTAAAATGCATTTCAGTCATAGAAATGGGAATAAACCTCCATATAAAAGCTTTTTCTCTTACATTAGTTACAAGGGAAAAATATTTCACTAAAGTATGATCATAACTGGCCTTGTGGTACTTAAAAAATTATCCTTCTAAATAAAAGCCAATGTCTTAATCTTTAAATAGTATAAAGGTTTATTGGTTGTTTTTACAGGGTAAATTCTTTCACAGCTAACTGGAAAAGAATTCTATGCTGAAACTTGATGTAATATTAAAATAAAATTCTGTTTTATAAGCCAGTTGGTTTGGCAAGACAGGTTCCCATATAGTTTTTTGAAAGCTGCAGATATTTGTGAATGCAACTGACCTAGTACTATGACGTCCTTTACATATAAAAAATAATCAGCAATAGGGGCGCCTGGGTGGCTCAGCTGGTTAAGTGTCTGCCTTCAGCTCAGGTCATGATCCCAGGGTCCTGGGATTGAACCCCACGTCAGGCTTCCTGCTCAACGGGAGCCTGCTTCTCCCTCTCCTCCCCGCTTGTAATCTCTCTCGCTATCTCTGTCACTCTCTCTCTCAAATAAATAAAATCTTTAAAAAAATAATAATCAGCAATAGATGAGGTATGTGCTTTAATTCTAATAAAAATGATTTTTATTTGTTCACACCATCAGTAACAAGAAACATTGGTAACTAAGAGCAAAGAATTATAAACTGTGAGAGAAATATGGCTTGTGTAATTTGCATAAAGCTATCAAAACCTCAGCAACTGTCATGTCAAACTTATTAGAAAATTCTGCTGTTCCTTAGCCATGACAGCAGCGGGTGGACAAATCCAACATGAGACTTCCGTGAGGAATATGAACATAAGGTTGACTACAGGGCATAACACAAGCTTCAGGAAAGTGAGAGGGCCTATGCTTTTGTTCATATTGTAGCTCTGTGATGTGGGGCTGCCAGCGCAAGAAATGTGCTTCTATTCAGGGTACAGGATCCATACCAGAAAGAGCTGCACTGTGATTGTAAGGAGTGACTGATTATATACTTTTAAGTTTGCGAGGAGGAGTGATTAGAGATAAGGTAAGTTTCTAAGGAATTTCTCCATGCTGAAAATGAGGTTTACAGGACCTTGGAGGTCTGGTTATTGTCAAGATAAGGTTGCTTTTAGTCTCTATTAATAAACATCAACATGAAGGCAGCCATAAGTTCCTTGAGGTATGTCACACTCTGCATGTCTCAGGTATTAGTGGGCTACAAGTTGTAAAGAGATTAATTTTAGCTACATTTCTCATGCCTTTGCTCTCCTTACCAGTGCCTAGAGCAAGCGAGAGGAAGAGCTCAACATTCTGTGAATGGACAGAACCAAACTGTCAGTAAAGGTCGAAACAAGCAATTCAATAAAAAGTTCAAACTGGTTGATTCAACTAAAAATTTAACTGCTTACTACAGTGAGGCAGGACCATATAAATGAGAGAGCTGACGGGATGAGGTCTGTGGCGTTCTGTCTGAAGTGGGCAGGAGCCACTCCACGGCAGCTGATTACTGCCATGTGAGAATGGACATTTTCTGATTTTGGTAAAAAGAAGCCAGAGTTTCTAATATTTAAGTGAAATCACGGAGTTTTTAAATGGCGACAATTAAACACACACACAGCAGACCAAACAAAACACATCTGCAAGCCAAGCGTGGCCCACCCGCTAACAATTTAGTATCTGCAATGCAGTTAGATATAGAACACCTCTTCGTACAACTACAGTCTACAGAAGTTTTCCTCTAATATACCAACTGTGGAGAACAGTGATTTTTGCAGACAATTATAATTAAGCAGGGTTGCATTCCCTTTCCATAGTGTGTCTAATTCAGATAAGGTGCAAAATGCTACTTACTATTGCTGTCCTTTAGATCAATGATTCTCAAAAGTGTGGTCCCAGGAGACCAGCACTATTAAGGAAGGCTGGGTACTTGAGAAATGCAAGTCCTTATCATACCTAAATCCTACCCCAGACCTACAGAATCAGAAACTCTAGAGTAGGACCAGGAATCTGTGCTAACAAGCCCCCCAGGTGATTCTCATGCACGCTACAGTTCGAGATTTACAGCTCTAAAACACCAGTTTCTGATTTTCCTTCCCCCACCCCCACACGGTAGGAGTCGTGTGACTTACGGCAGAGAGTAGACCACGTTCTAAATGGCACTGACGAGTAAGGAGACGCCCAGATGTCTCAAGCAGCAGCGCCAGGACTAGCTGCATGACTCAACTCACTTGGCCACTCTGTCTGGAAATAAGACTGGTTTCCAAGAGCTCTAAAAACAAATTTTCTACATACCCTGTGGAGGCTTCTGATGACTTTTCACAAAGTCAGCCCCACATAAATGGTTGAGTTTCCCTTTGGTTCCATCATTAAACAGTTGAACTGACAGACCCTGGGAAATGTAGTGTTCCATTTCTCTCAGCTTCAGGGCCCCTATGCCGTTTGCACAGTCAACCTTAAGTGATCTATATTCATCTCCACTGCAGAAAGCCTTAAAAGGAAAACACACATGGAAGAAAAATTTCAAGTTATAAAAGAGTGAAGCATAAGGCAAATATAGGTATATGTAAACATCTTCCATTGTTTCAGTTAACTCATCTCTTTTAACCTGGGAAACAAAAGGGTACACACATTCAGGTGAAAATTGTAGAAAACCAAAGTAAAATTTAAAAACCTTTAAAAACTTTTTTTTTTTGGACACTGACACTAGAACAGTTTCACTGATGGAATAACTTATGGTAATGGAGCTTTGTCAAAATTTAGCCTCAGTTAAGCAGGGTCCCTTCAAAATAATACTATAGCCTATATTACATGACAGGCATTCAAATGTGGGAATAATTATATAGACGGATGAGCAGAATGACACCTGTCATTCTCTTCACAGCATATAACACCACTGGGCAGATCTGGGTTTTTCCTTGTCAGTCTCCTCCCTGGCCCATCCTCACTTCAGAATATAAATTCTATGAGAACAAGGGCTTTGTTGGGTTAACAACATGCATTCAGTATCTGTTGGTCAAATTAATTATACCCCCCCAAATCTTTCTCAACCAGGTTTAAGAAGCTAATCTACCCAGGAGATAAAATCTTTCTCAGCAGTAGACACTTCAAGTATCACGCCAATAGCACCTAACACCTATGAGAAAATTCATCTGAATGAATATGAAACCACAAGAACGCCATGTTTTCTCTCCCAATTATCTCAGAATGTACTACGTGCCTTGCCAAGTAAATGCCGACAGATATTTAGCAAGATACAAGGGTCAAACCTTGTGGAGCCCTAGAAAGAAAAAGGAAATACACCGCATTTTTGGAAAAAAGGAGGCGTGACAAACTATCTAATTAAGATAAATTATTCAACTGATGTTACTCATTTGCTTAAACTCTAACCATGTTCAAGAGATTTTCACCTGTTTGGTAAGCTCCATAAAGGCCTTAGAGAGTTTCTCATAGTAACCTTCTATGGTTGCCTTTCCATATTGGCCACTGGTATTTCGACAGTACACCATGTAGTGTAGCTGGGGTGTTGTTAACAAGCCGTAATCTGTCAGAGAAATACAAAAAGCAATTTGTCACATTTCTTAATAAAGAAAAAAAAGTTTAAATGGATTCATACCATATGAATTTGACAGATCTTCCTTAAAAAAAAGACATCTCAGAAAACTAAAATGCTAACTTCCAAACTATTCAGAAATATGCATAAATATCCACTGAAATCATTACAAGTAACTGTTACATTATGATGTTGTAATTTATAATAAGAAATAGAGATTTGGTCTCTGTCTCCATTCCTGGCAGGGCTTCTAACCCTTAGAATTTCTAAGCGATGAGAGCAAGGAATTGTCTTTTGTTATGCTAATGAGACGAGGAAAGCTCCTAGACAGGGCCAGGTTGGTTGCCAGGGAAACCAACCATGTGATTAAAGAGTTGAAACTTTCAGACCTCTTCCTTATTCCTGGGCCCCCTGCCACTCCAGGGAGAGAAAAGGACTAGAGATTGTGTTCAAATAGCAATGGCCAATCACTTAATTGATCGTGCCTATGTAATGAAGCCTCCATAAAAACCCAAAAGGATGGGGTTTGGGTTGGTAAACGTGTGCATACTGGGGGGAGTGGCTGCCCAGACAGAGCACGGGAGCTCCATGCCCCTTCCCACATACCTTGCCCTGTGCAGCTCTTCCAGCTGGCTGCTCCTGAGTTCTATCCTTTATCATAAACCAGTAATCTGGTAAGTAAAATGTTTCTGAGTTCTGTGAGCCCTTTAGCACACTAATCAAACGAAGGAGGAGGTCATCAGAAGCTCAGGTGACTGGATTCTGAAATGGGGGGAGGGGAGGAGACATGGCACTGAGCCCTTTACCTGTGGGATCTGACCCTACCTCTAGGTAGATAATGTCAGAGAATTAAGTTAATTGTTTGGTAGTGTTAGAAAAAAACACACATTTAATATGGATAGGTAACATAAAAAGAGAATATAGAAAAATAATAACTGAGTTCTATTTCCAACAACACTGCAACTATTTAATTCAGAAGAACCGTACTCCTGAAAACAACCAAAAATGCTAGATAAAAGAAAAATCTCTTTTAAAAAAGCATTACTGTGCCAACAAGTTACAGAGGACTAAGGCCAAAACCTCTGTGAAGAGAGAATTCCAAAATTTGAGCTCTGGGAAGCCAGTTTGGCTTTGAGGGCATTCCTCTAAAGCAGAAATTAACCTACTGCTTTTGGTGCAAAAAAAGTCCTTGCTGACTTAAGATGGGAAGGAAACCCAGTAGAAGACCAGCCCCTCATGAAGCTGAAGCCTCAAAGAACTATTCTTCAGTGCAAGGCTGAGTCAGAAGTGAATTAGCTCCAAGTGCCCACTCCTAGGAGATTTGTCTTGACATCAAGAAGAGCAGGAGATAACCCATCCCTGAAGAGCTGTCACCAGAAGCACAGGCCTCGCCTGGATTTCTGGCCCAAATCACATAACCAAGAACTGCCATCAAGAAACTTGTCATCCACCCGTCAGGTTGCACCCCCAGGCACCCAGCAAAAGCAATAACCAAACTTTGCCACAGAAATAGGCCTTCACCATAAACCTCAAAAATGTCCCACAAATAATTTCCCAAGAAAAACAAACCGCTTATAGTCAAAAATAGCAAACCACACAAGAAAAGCACCAAAAGCAAGAGCAAGAAACAGGAGAAATAGCAGAGATGACCAATATCCAATAAATATTCTGTAACTAAATCCATCAGAGGTCTTCAAAGTCAAGCACAAGAGTTAGGACTAGAGACAAAAAGTCATTTAAGCTACTGAGCCCTGCAGGTATACAACGGAAATGGTATTTTATGACGGCAACCCCGGCTCCGATACAAGGATCAGATAGAAGGACAGGGAGGAGTTCAAAGTGGATCAGCACTTAACCTAGTTCGATGGAGGTGTATAAGGAGAGGAAAACAATATTCCAAAAGACTTACTCAAGTAAGTAATCTTTACTACAACGTCGGGATGATATGACTCGTGCTTACTTCCCTGACCTTATCTACTAGCTTCCCCCATTCTCCCTATGCTGTGGCTACATTAACCTTTCATTTCCTCAAGTACACTAAGCTGAAGAGAGAAAAGACGGAAACGTCCAAAAAAAAAAAAAAATTACTCTCACGTTTTTCTAAATTAAAACATTAGAACAGTGATGGTCCTAGAGCTAGAATGACAGTGCAAAAGGTGAAGCATTCTGAGGACAGTATAAACAATAGTGTTAAGCCAGGTGAAGCTGGAGTAAGGGCAGACCACCTAAGTGGAGGCCTCACTTAGCCTAGTGCTTTACAAATTGCAGACCTGAGCCCATCAGGGATCATGGAATCCACTTAGTAAGACACAACCAGCATCTCTGCATTTTTTTTTTTAAGTAACACAGATGAATGCACGTCATGCAGTGTGGGTATTATTTACTGATACTTTTGTGTCAGTTACACACACAGGTACATATACACACATCATGATACAAAATGGGTTTCTTACTTTAATTTGTGAGCGGCAAGAAATAGACTCCCTGGAGGGTTGTATATAGCAGGCAGTCAAAATGTTTGACGGGGGCGCCTGGGTGGCTCAGTCGTTAAGCGTCTACCTTCGGCTCGGGTCATGATCCTAGGGTCCTGGGATCGAGCCCTGCATCAGGCTCCCTGCTCGGCGGGAAGCCTGCTTCTCCCTCTCCCGCTCCCCCTGCTTGTGTTCCCTCTCTCGCTGTGTCTTTCTCTGTCAAATACATAAATAAAATCTTTCAAAAAAAAAAAAGTTTGATGAACTAATAAAAAATTAAACTATACATAGCTGGAGCTTTGGCAGTAAAGATGATCATTCAAAAATCAAGCAGAATGAAAGAGAGAAATAAGGAACACCCATATGAAGAGAGTGAACCCACAAAGAAGACCGATAAGAAATAGTGGCCAAGGAAGTCGAAGCTTCAAGAAAGAAAGGAAGAGGTCACAGTGTGAAGAGCTATCAAGACAGCAACTGAAATAAAAACTTCAAAATGTAGGGGCACCTGGGTGGCTCAGTCGTTAAGCGTCTGCCTTCAGCTCAGGTCATGATCCCAGGGTCCTGGGATCGAGCCCCACATCGGGCTCT